GCATCACAACGAGACCGAGTGATGGCCATCCGTCGTTAATAAAAGTATTCGTAATTTTTATCTTTAATATTTAGTGGGCTGTACTCTTAATCGCATAAATTCCCAACAGATCCATCAATACGAACTGATTCTTGGCACCTCCTTCCGCCGAGCCACGCTCACGTGGGGAGTGGTGGCCCACCGGATCCTTATCAGGTGATCTGGTCCCCAATTAGTAAACTTGGTATAAGATAACGATCTTCGGAAAAGGAGCACCGTCGCAGGCCCTTACTCCGAGCCGTTCTGTTGTGAGATAACCTGCCGATGTATCTGTTGAGATTGGTGCCTTTAAGAATAATAACTGTTTTTGATTGTGTTTTTTTATCGCCGTATAATCTTTCAAGTATCTTTCAGTCATAATCGCCGCACGTACTCGCATCCTCTACAGAATATTCAACTGTCCCGTGACCCAAGGTGCTAACAACGTGATAAGGGTTGCGTATGATCAATAAGGAGTGCGGTACTGCGTGAACAATATTGAGTATAATCATTCATTAACGTTAAGGTTTTCTTAGCATAGTATTTGCATATTTTAACGACTCTCTCTCTCACTAACAACCATCGCGTTATGCGGGATCCATGTGCCGTTGTCAAAGTGAAATCAGACAATCGTTGATGATACTGTATTGATGCCGTGTTGACGTTCCGGGATTGAGAGTTCGCATACTATATCATAGTTAAGGTTGAATTAGTAATAAATTGATCAATACAGAAGTGGTTGTGTGATTCTTTCCTGAAATCTATGCATAAGATCTGCTTCTGCGTCGAGATCTGAACTTGGTGACCTTAATAAACACACTAATACATACTCAGTAAATGTTAAAGCGATAACGGGGTGAACCGGGGACCTAAATATAACCACGAATACACACTCTGGGAATGTTAAAGCGAGAATGAGACGAACCTAGACAACGATGCCGAGTTAATCTAAGTTAATCTTGCATACTTACACCACACCTGCATAACTGCATACGATTAATTGCCTTATTCCGATCGATAACCCACCCTCGTCACCGAGGCGGGGTCTGGTTATCATAACGACTTGCATTATCATAATTACACCCACTCGCATAATTAATACGATTACCTCTCGAATTGGCATAATTAAAATGTGCATAATTACATAAATTAACATATTTCCGGATAATTACACATTTGGCCAAATTTCATTTAATTATTATTATTTTCACTGAATATTCATAACCCACATATACAACATAATAATTTCACCCACGCACGCATACAACATAACAAATTTTGATAACCAACATATACAACAGAAGACAGCGGAAGAGAGGGCAGCAGAGAAACAACGTGGAAGAGTTCAGAGGTCACTGCTGGACACAAACAGCTGGGGAATGAAAGGAATGGAGGCAAATGGGGGAGGCATTTGCCCAACAGTGGGAAGTTATTGGCTGATAACCGAAACAGCATCTATAGATGAACATATGCAACCCCCGAGCGATCCAGGGTCCTTATTCGATTCAATATTTTGTTGTTGTCACTCTTTACCATCTGATTTGTATAAAAAAAACTAAATTAATATAGCATATTTTAGACATGGATAAGAGACTCCCCCCCCAAGACTATTTGCATTTTAATTCCATGAAATAAATTAAAGAATCTATTCTCACAACCCACGCTGGTCGATGCGTGCGCAGCATCTGTCGTGAGCGTAGAAATAGATTTCAGTCGATGAATCGATGCGTAGTTACATGCTCTGCTGACTACCTCGCGTCGATGGAGCTGCAAGGCGTGCAAGAAGCCACTGTCGCGAGCTGTGAGCCGCACCATCACCAACAACCCCAGCATATTTTAGACATGGATAAGAGACAAAAATCGTGATTTTTTTTTAGTCTGCGTTTTTCTCTCCCTTGAATGAGGTGACAAAGGCTGATTAAGCTAACGATGCAGGCTTGGTACTGAAACGGTATAATGCAGTAGAACTCCTCTGGGACCAGGGAGATCGGAGCAGGCGCAGGGTAGATCGGCGGTCTAGCAATGGCAACGCACACCAAGTAAAGTCTGCTTTTTCTCCTCTCAAGCCATTGTGTTCATGGGCCAGATGACAGATGGCCGGGCCGGGCACTCCAGGCTATGTGGATTCTATTGAAGCTCAGCAAAGAGCTTAAGTCCGGTTCTACCACTCCATTGCTGGGGCTTTGCGACTGAGCGGCACCGAGTAGATGAAACCTTCACCACAGTGAATTTTGGCAGCAGCAGGGGCATCATTTTGAGCCTTTGGGTAAATTTGAAAGAAATTCACGCTGCTCAGGGGTTAGAGCACTAAGCCGGCGCCACTGAGAGCCTGGGTTTGAATCCGGGTTTCAGCAGCCTGTGGTTGAACTGAGTTTCTCAAGTGTGGCGAGTTGATGGCCTCAAGGCTGTTTCACTTTGACATTTGACGAACCATCATGCTCCGGCATACAAGAGGTGCACATCTATTGCAGTGACATCTATTGCAGAATTCTGAGACATTATTTTCCCGGTCCGTAACGATATGGCGATTTAACACTGCAAAATATTGTTGTTGCAGGTTCATGTTTGTGTGGGGTTCTGTTATTTCAAGGTTGCTTTGGTGTTCATTCTAACGTGCGTTTAGAGTATTTGGCTGCTATACATTTTCCACATGACAAGTCACTTCATTGATCTATCATTTGTGGCCATGTCACTTCTGAAAAAGCGCTATATAGCTCAGTGGGCTTTACCTGATAAAACAAAGATTAGTTTAGTTTTAGTGTCATTGCTTTTCCAAGCAACTGGTTCGACCGGCTTGTCCAGAAATATTTAATGTTCGATGTGCATTGTGCAAACTGTTTCTTCCAGAAGTACTGAATGTGTAATGTTCATCGCTTTTATATTCACAAACTGGTTCTTCCAGAAGTATTGAATGGTTGATGTTCATCGCTTTGATGTTCACAAACTGGTTCTTCCAGAAGTATTGAATTGGTTGATGTGCATCGCTTTGATGTTCACAAACTGGTTCGTCCAGCAGTATTGAATGGTTGATGTTCATCGCACAAACTGGTTCGTCCAGCAGTGTTGGATGGTTGATGTTGACTTTGATATTCACAAACTGGTTCGTCCAAAAATATTCAATGTTTTATATTCAACGCTTTGATATTCACATCGCTGACTGATAGCCATAGTAATTACGAGCAGGGCAGTTGTTACGCTCGGTGTTGTAAATACGTTGTTGAACTTAGAAATCAAGTTTCCACTTTCACAAATTGGACGTCTCGAAGGAGCTTCTTTACACACGCATACATACCCTAACACACGTGTGCGCACGTGCGCAACTACCATATCGTACGCATTCACAAGTGTACGCAAGCACTTATCTGACCTTGTGCACATGTGTACGAAAGTACATGTCAACACAAGCAATGGAGTAAATAGCAATCGAGCAAGAACAATAAATCATTGTTAAATAAAACATTCCTTGCAGCGTAAGTTGGCTCTGCCAGATTATTTGTAGACTGATTACAGCACTGATTACAATTAATTTCACATAAACACCCAAAGACAAAGATCCCCGTATACTCTTAACAGACTATTGCGGCAAGTGCTGTTAGCGAGCATCTCTGAAGGCCGACACAGCACATAAGCACCATGCCTGGCCGCCTTTGTCTCCCTAATTGTATGTGTACGTGTGTGCGTACATACATGCACATATATATACACACACACACACAAAAGTTCGTAAAACAACGTACTACATAATTCTTGCATGTGTGAAGGCGATGGTGGAGAGCATATCGGGTTATAGTTTTCTTCAAATTTAGGTGGTCTCGTGGTATAATGTTTGGCACCATGGACTTATAATCCAGAAATTGCCGATTCGATTTGATCTCCTGGCGTGACAATTCTTGTTAAACGAGTGCGAGCACTCCCGCCTCCAAAATATCTGTCCCGAGTGTGGAAGAGTAGGCCAAATACCTTATAAGAAGGGCTCTCTAGAGCGCCCTCTAGTGGAAGCCCTTCCACCAGCAGCGCAGTAACAGAGCCATTGCAGGGCTGCACCGTTATATTTAGTTAACTTTTAAACGAAACAGTTTTTTATTTACCAGGTAAGGCCCACTGAGCTATATAGCTCTTTTTCAGAAGTGAACTGACCACAAATAACAGCTCAGCGAAGTGGCTTCTCACGTGAAAATTGATAGCAGCCAAAAACTTTCAACGCATGTTGATTCTAAATTATGGAGGGAAAAACTGGAGGACTTGGAGAAAAATCCACGTGACCAGGGGGAGAGAGACATTGATACTCCAAATATACAGGCGTCAGGGCCCGGATCGAACCCATGACCTCTTGTATACCAGGCGAGGTATTTAACACATCGCCACCGTCGTGCCCCTTACTTGCCAGGGCTTAATTTCTTACTGTAGACTGGAGTACTTTAACAGCAGCCATAGCAGCGAGAGCGATACTGGATGTGGTAACAAAAAGATCAGCTGAAATGTTATAATCCCTGCTTGCAGGAGGCCCATGCATGGACATTTGTAGCCAGGCTCGCAAAAGACACACGCTGTACACAATGCACACAACTGCACACACCATACACACACAAAAACAAAGATCCTCTGTATAGCCTTTACAGACTGTTAGGGCAAGTGCTGTAAGCGAGCACCTATGAAGGCCGGCACGACACAAGAGGTGTTGGGTGGCCAACACCACACCCGGCCGCCTTTGTCTCCCCAGTGGCGATGTTTAGACACCTAGGGGAGGGCTAAGGACCGGTTCAGATAATCGTCACTAGTGTTGGCCGTGAGCGGGAATTGAACTTGGGTCGCCGGGTCGTAGCGCAGCGTAGCGCGCTAACCACTACACCACCGCTCCCCACGCACCGTCCACACTGCTCTCCGGCGACAGATTGATGTGCGCAGTTTTGCCACGAGGAGAGACGCGTGCCGCGTGGGTGATTAGCCCCTGGGGGTGAAGAGACCCCCCGCCTGGGTCGTACCTATGGAGTCACCATCGTCCCAGTAAAGGGAGCCCTTGGCGGAGCCGGTGTCGTCCAGAGCAACCAGAAGGCCCATGGGGTTGTGGCGGCTGCGGGGGTAGTTAGTGGGGGGGCAGAGACACGGGAGACATGGGGGGGGGGGGGGGTTGTTAACGTGATGTGCACGTTACGTCTGTGTGTGTTGGTGTATGTGCGTTTGCGGGACGTGTGCATTGTGCAAGGGTGTGAGTGAGTGTGTGCGCGGGCATGCATGTGTGTGTCTGTGTGTGGCATGTGAACAATGCGTGTATAGAGTGCGGCATGCATCACGCGTGTTTGTCGTGTGGGTGGGAGCAGTGGCGCCGTGATTGGGGGCAAACCGGTGACCTGGGTTTGATTCCCAGCCATGGCTAACGTCAGTGGCGAGTGACATCTGAAATGCCCCTGGGCCTCCCCTAGGTTGACTCGGCCTCAACCTGGTGCGGTCAATAAACTTCAGCAATGGGAAGACACAGTCGGCTCGGGCGTGGTTTGTCGGGCACACCAAACCCCTCCCTCCCTCGTGCACCGTCCTGGTCTTCATAGCTGCTCGCTAACAGCACACAGTCTATGTCGGCTATACCAGGGGATCGTTGCCTTTGTGCACGTGTGCAGATTGGTGCCCGTGTGATTTGCATATGTGCGCACACATGCATGTGTGTGCATTTGTGGGTGTGTGCACGAGTGTGTTTTTGTAAAGGCATGCATGCGCCTTCGTATTTGCATGCGGAAATGCGCGCAAGTGTCTTTGTGGCTGTAAATGCATGCATGCGTCTTCATATGTAGATGCAGGTGTTCTTGTGGATGCATGCATATATATAGGCTTGCGTGCGAGAGCGTGAATGCATCCGTCCTTTGTGTGTGTGTGCGTCTGCACATGAGTGCGTGCGTCCATGTAATTGTGGGGACTCAGTGGGATCTGCAGACGAAGGTGATTAAGCGTGTCTCAGGACTATTGCAAGGAGTTCGAAGAGAGGAGGTGAGATGCGGGGGTGTGAGATGTGCGAAAGAGAGAGAGGGGGAGGCACGGGACACGGGGGAGAAGGGCAAGAGGAGCGAGCGAGACCACGAATTCTAAACAAGCTCCCAGCATCTTCTTGGTTCTTTCGGTAAAGTCACGTAGAAGGGAAGTAATAAAAAAATAAAAATAAAACATAATAAAATAATTCTCACACATTATGTATGCATACATACGCATACATACATAATGTGTGAGAATTATTTTATTTTATTATGTTTTATTTTTATTATTTTATTACTTCCCTTCTACGTGACTTTACCGAAAGAACCAAGAAGATGAAACCCTGCAGTCACGAAAGCTTTAAATCGAAAAGCTCCCAGCACGTGGGGCGAAAATCGTCTGGCATTCAGTGCCGGAGCAACACGCGCTGTACGACCCGAACACAACATCAGAGAGCCACCTACACACAGTGTGCATGCCTTTCCCTAAGACCTGCATGATCACCACCACCAGCACCGTTAGCCACAAACAAAGACAATGATCACTCCCCCCCACTATCCCTATGAAGGCCTGCACGGCACACGAGTGGATTGGTTGCCAACACCACACCCTTCGCCTTTGTCTCCCCACCGCACCAGGTACTAAATTGAGGCCGAGTCTACCTAGGGGAGGCCCATGACCAGTTCACATAATCGTCACTGGTGTTGGCCGTGAGCAAGAATCGAACTCGGGTCGCCTGGTTCGTAGCGCAGTGCGCAAACCACTACACCACCGCTCCCCATGTGCTCTCTCTCACACACACATACACACGAGCACCTCTTGGAAGTGGTACGCTCTGGATCCTGAGTGGGCAGCACGTAACCTCCCCGCACGAAGATTGGTATCGTCTCCAATGGAGCGTCAACCGTGATGGAGGTCTTCCTCTTCCCCACTGAAACCTCAGTGCCCTTGGAAGGGAAAAGGGAAGACATTTGATTGCGTGCATTTTTGTTGATTGATTCATTGATACTGATGGAGCAGTGCCCTTTATTTAATCTGGAAAGTCTCAGCTAGATCTTCCATGGACACGAACTTGCCTACCCCTCCCTCTCATCTCACTTCACTCCACACACTCTCCTACCACTCCCCTCTCATCTCACTCTACTCCGCTCCACGCACTTTCATACCTCTCCCCTGTCATATCACTCTACTGCCCTCTACACTCTCTCCTGCCTCTCCCCTCTCATCTCACTCGACTCCCCTCCACGCACTCTCCTACCTCTCCCCTCTCATCTCACTCTACTCCCCTCCACGCACTCTCCTACCTCTCCCCTCTCATCTCACTCTACTCTCCTCCACACACTCTCCTACCTCTCACCTCTCATCTCACTCTACTCCGCTCCACGCACTCTCCTACCTCTCCCCTCTCATCTCACTCGACTCCCCTCCACGCACTCTCCTACCTCTCCCCTCTCATCTCACTCTACTCCCCTCCACAGACTCTCCTGCCTCTCCCCTCTCATCTCACGTCACTCCCCTCCATACTTCTATCTCTTCCCTCCACACAGATAGACTCAAGAATCCGTTGCTGTACTGCCATCTTCTGGCTACCTTGCATACTCTCATCGGACACATTCACAGAGATTTAACCATCGGCAAATAAAAAAAAAACTCTTTCCCGACATCACATTATCCGCACATGTTCTTGATCAAAACGACTCCCTCGCTCGGGGTATATTTGCCATTACGGGCGTCTGCGCTCGCATGGTGGAGCCTTGACTTAATTGAAAGCAGATGATCAGCCCGTGTATATGTTTACCTTGTAGTAGTCAAACCAGCGGGCATCCGGCAAGTAAACATCGATGGAGAATGTTTGCTGCAACAGGGGAAAAAAAACACAAATGTTCACGACCACAAAACTGACAAGATGCACAGTTGCATGTATGCCTGTCGAACTTCTTTCGCACCGTACATAGCCAACCGTGCTAAGAGGAGGTACGGAGTTGGACTTGCGACGAGAGACATGAAGAGGAACGCGTGGACCGGGGTTCATACGCAGGGTATGACACACATCGCTAGACTAGCCGATGGACAAAATTGCAGATACAGTGGGTGACGAAGGAGCATGTTCCCTCCATGACTACTGATACAGGCCACCATACTTCAATAGGGATTACCGTTGGTAGGGCTATTTTAATACACACAATGGACAGGAAGGACAAGATCAAAGGACTCGCATAATGTGCATGCATAATGTACGTTGACTCATTAATCCCCCCCACTTTGCGTAAGAGCGCAGAAGTGTGGTCACCACATCTACGCCTCTATATAAGGAACGAAACAGGTGGACTTCTCCACAAATCTGATGAAGCTAGTTGTAATTACTGGCGAAACGTCGTACTCAGAATGTAAATGTTGTGGCTTGGCTCTCCAGCACACAGATTAGTGCTGTACTAGTGACGAATTGGCCACGTTCTGTTTACGTGACAATCCTGACTAGTTGGCTGTGTCGGGTGGTGGCGGGTTTTAACGACACACTTATATATTTGCGCGATCTAACCCCCCAATAAAACCTCCATTATAGTTTAATCGATGCATAACGAGATTTGCGAAGGGTTTTGGAGGCCTTCGTCCAGCAGCGGTAGACAGAACATGGGTGATTATAATCCTGACAATGATAAGCGTGCGACAAACAAAAAGGAAATGTCGTAGCTTGACACGGATCCAAGATTAACCGGCCAATTCAAGTGTCAGCTCTCTCGCTGTCTTTAAGAACCGAGTGCTTCTCTTTCAAATAAGGGGCAGAATCGGGCCATTCATGAGTTGCAAGGCCAAGCACTTCATTAATATCCAGCGTGTAGGAGTGGGTATCATGCGTAGAGGAGAGACGGTTGTTTTGTTACAAGACACTTGATTGGAATCTCGTGTGTTAGGGAGCAGTTAACATGTGGAAAAAAGATTATGTTGTGACATCCCTCACACGCGTGAGATGTACAAGGTGTTTGAGTCAAGATACGTCGATAATCTCCAATACAACTGTCATGGGACTTTCTTCTGATGTTGCCGTGAGTAACTTGGCGAGGGCGTAGCTCCTTGTCTAACTCTGCTATCGTGCGCATTTTGAAAGAACGGAAGAGGAATGCAGCGAACAGAGAACGAACACCTGCCCACCTATTATCCACCCACCAATACACTCCCCTACCTGCTTCCTAACCCTCCACCATACTCATACCAACCCAACCATCCGTAGGGCCATTACCCACCCACTCACCCGCCCATCCACTCACCCACTCACTCACTCATCTGCCCATTTTTCCGATATTTGACCCATTCACCACACCACTCATACACACTCACGCGTCCTCTCACCTGCTCACTCACTCATCTGCCCACCCACTCACCCTCCTGGCCACCCACTCACCCACCCATCCACTATACCACCCACTCATCCACTCACCTACCAAGCCAAGCCACCCACCCAGCTCCTCTCACCAAACCACCCACCCAATCACCCACCCACCCAATCACCCACCCACTCACCCACCCACTCACCCACTCACCACCCACTCGCCCAGCCACCCACCTCGGTGAGCACGGGCGCGATCATGAGCGCGGGCCCCCACAGGAAGACTCTGTCGATGTCGTGCGTCGCCGAGTCCTCGGGGAACTCGTGGAGCAGGGGGCGCACCACGGTGCTGCCGAGCGTGTGCGCGTCGTGGAACAGCGTGTACAGGTACGGCAGCAGCGTGTAGCGCACGCGCAGCGCGTCACGCGCGATGCTCGCAAAGTTCGCCCCGAACGCCGCAGGGTCTTGCTCCTGTCGCGACGTTGCGGGGGGCACGCCAGCACGGAGGTAGAGGTTAGGGATCCAAGCTTTTCACCGTGCGCCGTTTCTCTCCTCTCTCTCTCTTTCCTCTCTCTCTCTTTCCCCTGCTTCTCTGTCCCTGCGGTGTATCACGACCAGGTTCTTACTTCCAAGATGTTCGCCTCTACCGGTCGTGCCCATCCTGGCTATCCTGGTTGTGTTTTACCAAATTTTGCTTTGTCGAAGTCGTCCGCAAGTATTAAAAAGACGAAGATCACCTGTCTAGCCTTGACAAACTGTTGCGGTAAGTGCTGTTAGCGAGCGTGGCGCAAGCAGCACATCCGGCCGTCTTTGTCTCCCCAGTTTCAATGATTATGCACCGCACCAGATACTCATTTAAGGCTGAGTAGACCTTGGGGAAGCGTAGAACTGGTTCAGATTATCAGCACTGATGTTAGACTTGGCCGGCATTCAAACTCAGGACATCAAGGTCGTAGTGAAAAGCGCTAAGCACTACACTACCACTCCCCACTGACATTTCACACACACGAATAGACAAAGATCTCCCATATAGCCTTAACGAACTGTTGGGGCAAGTGCTGTTAGCGAGCACCTATGAAGGTCGGCACGGCACACGAGGGGGTGGGTGGCCAACACCACGTCTGGCCATCTTTGTCTCCTCAGTGGCGATGTTTACACACAGCACCAGGTACTCATTTGAGGCTGAGCTGACCTAGGGGATGCCCAGGATCGGTACAGATAATCGTCACTGTTCTCGGTGGCCGTGAATGGGAATCGAACTCAGGTCACCGGGTTCGTAGCGCAGTGCGCTAACCGCTACACCACAACTCCCCTACACATTGCACACACACATTGCACACAAACACATCAACAAAAATAACTGCCATTCGCCAATAAGCATATTTCTAAATGTGGAGGGAAAAACCGGAGGACCCGGAGAAAAATGCACGCGACCACGGGGAGGACATACAAACTCCAAATATGCAGGTGTCAGGGTCGGGATCGAACCCACGACCTCCTGTATACCAGATGAGGCAGTTAACATCTCACCACCGCGGCGCCCTATAGCAGCAGCCAAAGCAAGGAAAGGTTCCCCCACACCCCTAGCGTCGAGAAGCAACGCAGCTTCCTGAACGGTGGCCCTTCATCCTCCGCGTTAACGCACGCGGGGGCTGTTTCCAACCTCCGCCGTACCTTGTAGTTGAGGCCGTTGTGGTTGCGAGAGAAGGGGTAGAAGGCGCCAAGCTGCATCCAGCGCAGGCACAGCTCCTCCTGCACGTCACCGTTGAAGCCACAGATGTCGGCTCCAACCTGCACGGGGAGGGAGGGAGAGAGAGGAGAGCGGCACAGGGTTTAACACACGGGCACTAAGACGCAGCGGAGAGATGTACGATCTTTTCTCCTATGAAGCGGTAGTAGTTGCGTTCCTGAAGAACACCGCGTGATGGAAACATCGCGTTGTAATGAACGATATATGATACAGGGTAAAGCTCAGTCCGCGATCACACGTGAGATGCGTACGCAGGCTGAACAAATGCTGAGACGCGTGGGTATCATCTAGAAGCATCCAGCAGCATCTCGCCTTGTGGGATGCTATGCCAAGGCAGCCGTACGACCGCTTATTCATAATCGCGCGACGTAGTTCCGTTCACTCGATCGCGTTGTATCCAATTCGCATCCTCGTTAGAAAACAATGTGCTCCCTAATATATTCATAACGCGTTGCATCCAATTCGCGTTATGAAAGCACGCGGCGTTATAGGAGAACAGATTGTACGGTAGCGGGTTATGGAGATAACTAAAAGAGATGAACACAGAAACGCGCACAGGGAGAGAGAGAGAAGGTTTTAGACACAGGGAGGAGACACGGAGAGAGGAGTCACTGGGAGACACGTGGAGTGATGCAGAGCGACGCACGCAGAGGGAGAGAAGCAGCGAGTCGAGTATGGCCTGTATGGGACTACGCAGCGATGCGGAGAGATGGAGAGAACCTCGAGGGGAGAGAAACGCGGAGAGACAGATGCACCGAGAAAACGCGTAGCATCATTGAGGCCACAACAGTGAATTGTATGACATCTGTATCACTTAATTTACTTAATGTCCTTTGATTTTCCGCGTCAAAAAATTGGTGTCCCTACAAATGGTTCCAGTGGCAGGATTTTCCATGATAATTATTCTCCCAATAATGCCCTTTCCTCACCCAGCAGGGCCCCGCCGAGTTGCGAAACGCCATCTTAGAAGGGTGCTGCGTTGGGATGTTTGGCCAATTTTATTTTGAGAATGATTTTGCCCGTGGGATAGGACTGGATAAATCGCACGAACGCAACGGGGATATCACTCACAGATGGGGCTCATGAACCCACTTGCTGTCTTGCGTTCAACATGTATGCTCACCCGACCAATATTATCATAAATAACGTTTTTTTTTGTTGGATTGCATAAATATAAATGTGTTGTTAATCCGCCAGGTAAGGTTTGTCACGTAAACAAAACGTGCCAATTAGTTACTATTTCAGCACACCGGTGTGTCGGAGAGTAAACCCACAACATTTATGATTTGAGTATTTCGACGTTTCGCTGGTGATTACAACCAGCTTCATCTACTGTCTCCCCCTGGCCATCCTGCAGCCCGGCAGCTTCGGAAGTCTCACAAAATCTCCGTGTCCTCCGCCAAGCCCTTTCCCAAAAATGGATCGCGTTGGCGTGCTTAGCCAAGCGCGGCGCATTGGCGTGCTCGTGCACGTCCGCCCCGTAGACTGTGAGCACGCAAGACTCCGATGGCGAGAATGTTGTGAAGCTCCGCTAGAGCGCAGCGGCGCGTTACCCGAGGCTTTTCTGTGGCCTTGTCCAGCGCCGCGCTGCCCACCCCCTTCCCCTTTATCTATTCGTCCGCATCTTAACCCTTTCCCATTCCGATGACGTACGTACGTGTACGTCATGTATTTTTTTTCCGATTCCATCCCGATGACGTACGTGTACTTCATCGTAACGGAAACAGAAGAAAAAATAAAATAACTTTATCGGTTCCGTGGCTCCCACAAGGCCATGTGGGAGGGCATGTGGCGCCAGCTATCACAGAGTGCGGTCGTGTTGCTAAGGTTCTCTGCGGCAAGTACAATGTCTTTACAAAACTACCGCGCTATGCCTCTCTAAATAAAATTAAAGCTGAGCCGCTTGCGCGTTCCGAGATTCAGCGGGGAACGGGAAACCCACCCTGCAACTTGCAGACGTCTCGGAATGGGAAAGGGTTAAGCATCTCCATTCGCCGACCGCACAGCGCTCGGTTGCCCGGGGAACTATCTGATGGACCGGTGCAATGCATGTTTGGGTTAATTTGGGAGCAAAGCGATGGAAGTCGAGGAGATTAATTAGAGGAGAGGCGTTTCATTCGTTAGCGTCCTTGTTGTCCTTCTGTGTGTGTGTGCGCTTCTAGGTGTACCGTCTGTAAAGGTCACCCTCTCTCCGCTCCCGTATTGCCCAAACCGATAGCAGACAATATGTCACCATCACATATCCGCCTCTGCACACAGAAAATTCAAGCATTCTTTACACAGCCCCCACGGCCCTCTGGGAGTGAATAATTTCAGCAGCTTTGATTCGGTGCAAGCAAAACTCAGGACCGGTTTGGACATACGGTGTCTCATCAGCAGAGTCAGGCTGGCTTGAATCAATGCTAGTGACCTGCCAGCAAGTTAAGGGCCCTGAGTTTGAGTTTTGTATTGCACAGAGCGCCTCCTTTGCTTTCAACCAATGCGGCCGCTTGTCAGCAGAGTTCAGACTTACATTGCAGTTCAATGTTCGACTGTGATCAACGCAGAGGTTACCCCTTAGATTCGTTTGGAAATGTTCACGCCTCGGCTTGCTTTTCGGACTCATCCCGAAATTGGGCACACGATGCTCGTGCCCCCCCCACCCCCCGTTGCACCACGGCAGCATTGCATGTGAGGAGCGTGTCCGCTTTGACGACTCGGCAGAGCCGTTCGTGCGAGTCTTGCCAGGAGAGGGCGGTAGCGCAAAACGTGGACTAATCTCCATCTGTTCAATTCGCGTGGCATAGAGTGTTGCCCCCTATCATACACGTGGGTTTAATCCAGGTGTACCGGCTTCCTCCTACATGTAACCAAATTATATGGCTCAAAACATCTTAATATATTGAGGACTGCAGAGCTTCGGCAATTGTTGGCACCGGCACGCCGCCTGGCTGGTGCCTTCCGGCTCGTTTGGGGCTCCTCCTCGTGCCTCCAAGTCGTCCTCTCTCTCTCTCTGTCTCCCAGAACGAGCGAGCACGTCGCTGTTCCGTGGTTACAAACTGATGTGATTGTTGTGAGTGCAAGCCCAAATGATCACCCAATGACTGCACGACAGAACGCCCTCTGTTTGCCCAGGATAGGCAGGGGCTGTCAAACTGGAATGTTTGAACCGCGTTTTTGCGTGTTTATTTTTTGTCCTTCCCCCCGCACCTCCGATTAGCACGGATGGCTACGTACCGGTACAAAAAAAGTTCAAAATACGTACATTTGCAATTGACCCCCCGGTGGCCTAATGATAAAAGTTGGCAAGCCTGAGTTTGTGAGTGAGGAAGCCAAGTGGGATCCACCCCCCCCACGAATTCCACGAGCGAGCGGTGGCGGGTTGCAAGTTGAAATTATAAGCTGCGTGGTGGTGGGGAAGCTCGGGTTCGGTTGGGGGGGAGGGTCTGGGGGTGGTGTGGGGGGCGGGCGCGCGGGCGGGGGGCAGTGCCGGAGGCTCGCTTACGTAGGGTATGCCGAAGAGGTTGAAGTCGAACATGCCCACGATGGAGATGTGCACGTTGCTCCACTGCGAGTGATTGTCTCCGGTCCAGTGGGCCACGTAGCGGCCCGAGCCAGGGAAGGTGGAGCGCGACACCACGAAGGCGCGCTTGCCCGTCGCTCGCTCCGCCGCCCTGCGAGCCAAATGCAGCCCACGGTCAAAGGGGAGATGGTCCTGCCCGCGGAAGGCGACGTGTCGAGGTTTTGCGACGTTGCCTGCCAACTAGAATTGGGATGACGGGCCGGTGGGTCGTCGATGGCCGCTTCTTTGTCGGCGAATAAAAATAAAACTGCCGTTGTGCCCCGACCGTCCTGCCTGCCTACCTCCCGAAGGCAGGAAACCTCCACAGAGTTACGCCCAATGCAATGAAGACATCAGCAAGCCCCGCCTATCACCTCCCGTCCAGCAACACGTGGAAACACAGGTGAGACTCATTCCCTCCCCCCAATTTTTGTGTGTGTTATCTGAGTGAGTTGAGTAATGGAACCGGTATAATCAGGAGAGTACTATAATCGATTACGTCAATAATCGGATATCCCACTTGTATTGCAAAGCCCACTGAGTTAAGTGGTAGGCTGCTGATTTTTGTTCCCACTTGCTCGCCACCGACTCACGGTGATAATGGGAGGCCTTCAACCAATAGTGGATAGACCGTGACTCATGTTGATAATAGGACCTTCTACCAGCAGTGAATAGAGAATGACTTAAGGATGATATTGGGAAGGATTTCATTAAGTAGTGGATACACCGTGGGTAATAATGATGATGGGGGTGGCCGTGATTCAGCACTGGATAGACCATGGTTCATGAAGATTGATAATGATGGGGTGGCCTTCGTTCATAGACCATGGCTCGTGATGATGATGGCAATGAGATGTTGGCTGGGTCATGGCGGTGAGCGCGGTCTACTCACGCATAAGACGGCTCGCTCTGCGACCATCCGAACAGCGAGTGTGTGTCGTAGTGGAGGCCCAGGTAGGACACGGAGTCCGGGCACAGGGTCTTGTCGGCCAGGGTGTCTCCCCACACGGTGCCTGCAGCACGAGATGGAGAAACGCGGGGGACGGGGCGAGGGTGGCATGCCGAAATTTTGCACAAAGCGCCAAGAGTCGTATCCCCGCATCTCGCTCGCACGCAGTCCGTGGTCTTTCTGACGCGTGGCGTGTTGCCAGAGTTGCCACCTGCTATGGTTGTCTCAGGGTTGTCCTCTATTTGAAGTGACTGCCCTGGGAAATATGTAAGTCTTTCCGAGACATTAAGAGTTCTGTTTTGGTCAGTCGAGTCAAAACAATAATTATGCACCACGCGTAACAATGCATTCACGTCTACTTCTCCCCGCTCTGGCTAACGTGAGATATTCTTCTTCTCATGAAATGTCCTGCTTTTTTTTACTTCTGAGGTGGCAACCCTCGAGTGTGTGTGTGTTGTGTGTGTCTCAGTCAGTCAACCCATGGCACCTGGGTCTGTCCCATGACCTGCCAGCGGGTGTTCGACACTCCACGTGGCCTAAACGTGCATATGGCCTGGCAGAAGCACCATTGTGATGTCGTCACCGCTTTGTGGCGAATGGTGGTTGTTGTTGTTGTGTGTGTCTGAGTGATGCTTGAACCAACAACATGGCAAGTTGGCGGTTCGGACCACAAGTGGTGCATCTGCCAGTCATCTCCATGAACCCACAACACCTGGGTCTGTCCCGTGACCTCCTGCCGGTCACAGCCTTCCACAACATCAATCGATGGTCTTAAAGTGCACCTTGCCAGCCTGGCACAAGCGCCGTAGTGATGTCACCATCACTTAATAGCTGCTCGTTGTTGTTGTTGTTGTGTGTGTGTTGTGGTGTGTGTGTGTACATACGTGGTTTGAACGGGGGGTTGTTCCATTTGTTGGCGGCACAGCCGCTCTGCTGACCGGTGCCGAAGTTAGCCGGCTCGTTCATGTCCTGCCGGAGACATCACGGGGACGGTGGGGGGGGGGGGGGGGCAGAGCGGCAAGAAAACCATCATCAGCCAGCCGTGGTTTATCCACGCAAACCCTCTCACCTTCAGTCGCTCTGACAAAATGTTGACTCGAACGGAACCCTGAACGCTGCTATAACCAGTAGCCAGATCTGGGGTCAATTGTAATCACAATTACAGCAGCGTTGTTAGCTGAAGTTAATTCAGTTTAACACGGAGGCTTTCGCAACTAAAATCATCCATAACCTCTATTATAGATGATATTGGTCGCGAAAGCCTACGTGTTAAACTGACTAACCTCTATGGGGAGAAGACTTTTCTTCAAACCAGAAAACTGGAGAAACTCCGAATTAAGCGGATGAAGCTGTTGTCTTCATTGGCGTTCCTCAAAAGATGCAGAGATTCAAAGGTAATTCCACACGCAGTTAAAGTAACTCATCACATTAAGTCACGTAAAGCTAATCAAATACTACATAAAGCGAGTGAGTTGTTTCTAAGAGAGAGAATGCAGCACAATAGAAGTGAACTAAGTCACACTTTTAAATCACTAATGTCCTTACACGTGAGAATGAGTAACAGTGTCTCTACAGATCACTGGAATATAATCGACAATTACACAGCAATCAGCTGATAATGTATTTAACAAAACTAACACTACTCAATTAACACATTTGCTAGACTAACTAACAAACAACTCTCAACTAAAAATGAACATTTTATAAACCAAACGATTATCAACATTACTAACGTCGAATTATCCAGCGATATGGTTTCAGTTTTGTCGAAAGGTCTTAACTTTGCTGTTGCCCCAAGTACAATCCCTGTCGATGAGATAATCGCTGAAGTGGAATCAGCAGTGAGACATGTCCCCCATAATGAAGCTGAGATGACCAGGCACGAGGTTGCCAAAATGATTGAGAACAGCAAATTGCCAAAAACAAATATTAACTTCAGTGATGCAAAAGCCTTCAGAGAATTGAGAGCAAATAAAGATACAGTATCCAAATTCTTGCTGCTGATAAGGGCGGATGGACTGTTGTGATGCCCCGTGAGGACTATGATAATAAAATCAAAGATTTACTCGATGAAGGTACCTGACGTTAAAATTAAACGAGACCCAACCAGCACCTTGGAAAGTAAAACAACGGCAATCATTGGCAAGTCATCAATTCCCAAGGAAGAGCAATACCTGATCAAACCAAGGGCATCAAAATCACCAAGACTTTATGGGCTACAAAAAAATTCACAAACCTGATATCCCATTAAGACCCATAGTTAGTACAAAAGGCTCTGCCACGTACAAATTAGCACAATACGTAACGAAACAAATACAGCCTTACATCGGCAGGACCTCTTCGTTCATCAAAAACTCTGAACATTTCGTAAATATAATTAAAGATATTAAGCCTAACCCTCATGATATTCTCGTAAGTTTTTATGTGACCTCTCTGTTCACGAGGGTTCCAGTCAACGAGTCAATTAAATTACTCGACACTTTGGTAACGAACAAAGGTTTAGCCAAAGATATCCCAAAATTAGCTGAACACTGTCTAAAGAAGACCTACTTATTGTGGCAAGGTGACTTCTATAAACAAAAGGAAGGGTCAGCAATGGGCTCTCCTTTTTCTCCTGTGATAGAGAATTTGTACATGGAAGATTTTGAAACAAAAGCAATAGCTTCAAGCATACTTAAACCATTCTGCTTGGTTTCGATATGTGGATGGCACATTGGTGGTCTGGCCACACTGCAAATATACACTGAACGCATTTATAAATCATCTCAACTCATCCATCCAGTTCACCATGGAAGTGGAAGCTGACAGAACTCTACCATTTCTGGATATTCTGCTCGGTCGAGGTCGAAATGGAAAAATAACAGTGTTTACCGAAAGAAATGCATACTGACGCCCATAATGCAGAGTCACACCATCACCCCACACAGAAATCTGCTCTTATCAAGACGCTCATTCATCGAGCTAAGAAAGTGTCAGATGGTGACAGTCTGAGAAGTGAAATTCAACATGTTAAAGAAGCGCTGCAAATGAACGTTTGCAGGAGTAACTGATAAACTAGCCAGATGTTTGGAAAAACAGAACATCCGAGTCAGATTTAGCACGGTACATAAAATACAGAAATTAATATCTGGTACAAAAGATGTATTACCGAAGCTATCAACAGAAGGTGTGTACAGGATTAACTGCACATGTGGTAAATGTTATGTTGGGCAAACAGGACGAATGATCAGCACGAGACTAAAATAACATCAGAGAAATATTTAATTATCCCAGATACAACTGTCAGCAGTAGAAGAACACGCGTGCCAATAAGGACACTCAATTGATTTTGTTGAAGTGCTGTGCAAAACTAGCTACTACTGGCCAAGACTAATTAAATAATCTATCGAAATTGAAAGAAATCAAAATTGATTTTAACGTTCGGATAGCTACCGCCTTAGTGCTGCGTGGAAGCGAATCATCAAATAACACATTATTTAAATGCATGCCTACAAAGGGCAGCGTACTTCAATAGGGATTACCGTTGGTACGGCTATTTTAATAAACACAATAGACAGGAAGGACAAGTTCAAAGGGCCTGCATAATGGAACATGCATAATGCACATAATGTACGTTGCCTCAGTAACCCCCCCCCCCCCACATTGTGCAAGAGCACAGAAGCGTGGTCACCAGATCTACGCCTCTATATAAGGAACGAAACAGGTGGACTTCTCCACAAATATGATGAAGCTAGTTGTAATTACTGGCGAAACGTCGTATTCAGATTATAAATGTTGTGGCTTGGCTCTCCAACACATCGATGTGCTGTACTAGTGACGAATTGGCATGTTCTGTTTACGTGACAACCCTTACTAGTTGGCTGTGTCGGGTGGTGGCGGGTTTTAACGACACATTGATATACTTAAACGATCTAACCCAAAAACCTCTATTATGGATTACCATTTCATGTTGCCAGATTTCATTTCTCACTAGAAGTTTTCTGACTTGGAGTATGGGAAAATTGGCGTAAGGCACTACCAGCTCGTGCACACGGTACCCCTATCCATAATAACCCGATATTATTAGCCATTATTTTGTTATAATTCTATTGACAGGTTTATAACCACAATAATAACCAACAAAAATAATGTTTGAACAATTCTGGGAAAAGAGGTCCTGGTCCGTTCCGGCTGAAATTAAGTGCTGACAGGCATTGCAGTGTGACCGCGATTCGTTAAATACCAGTGACGCAGAAGTACGATTGTGCACCTTCGATTGGCGGGGTTGGCTACGTACGGTGCGAATGAAGTTCAACATTCACACAGCCCATAGATTAACACTACCCATAGAGTTTAACACGCAGGTTTTCGCGAACCTGTTGAAGTAAGGTGGTCTGTATACCGTTGGTAGGGCTATTTTAATACACACAATGGACAGGAAGGACAAGATCAAAGGGCTTGCACAATGTGCATGCATAATGTACGTTGACTCAGTAACCCCCCTCTTCCCCCCACTTTGCGCAAGTGTACAGCTGCGTGGTCACCACATCTACGCCTCTACATAAGGAACAAAACAGGTAGACTTCTCCACAGATCTGGCTGTCGCCTGATGAAGCTAGTTGTAATTACTGGCAAAACGTCGTACTCGGATTGTAAATGTTGTGGCTTGGCTCTCCAACACACCAGTGTGCTGTACAAGTGACGAATTGGCACGTTCTGTTTGCGTGACTACCCTTACTCGTTGGCTGTGTTGGGTGGTGGCGGGTTTTAACGACACATTTTATATATTTACGCGATCTAACAAAAAAAAACCCTCTATTATGGACTACCCATAGACTCAACACTGCCCATAGACTCAACACTGCCCAAAGACTCAACACTGCACTCAACACTGCACCTCCAATTATCACGGTTGGATACGTAGGGTGCGAAAGAAGTTCAACATACATACAGCCCATAGACTAACACTACCTATAGACTCAACACTGCCCATAGACTCAACACTGCACCTCCAATAATTATCACGGTTGGCTACGTAAATAAGTCCAACATACAAATATTCGCAATTGATCCTCGGTGGGATAATGATAAAATCACCGAGTTGGCAAGCCTGAATTTGTGAGTGAGGAAGCCAAGTGGGATCCACCTCCCCATAAACCTCCCCCTGCCCCCCCCCCCCATCCACCCCACCGCCTTCCCACCCGGGAATTCCGGGGAACTCACGATCCACAGTCCGTCGTAGTTGAGCACGTCCATGAACTCCACGCACATCTGGATCCACCAGTCGCGGGTCACCGGGTTGCCGTAGTCCGGGAAGACAGAGCCCCCTGGTGGCCACACCTGGGCAGGGTGGCAGGGCACGGGCGCGATGGGAGGTTTTCAGTTCATTCGTTTGGGGCAGAGGGGGGGGGGTGGGAGTTGGGGAGAGGGGGTGGTGGTCGGCAAAAACTAAAATAGCGAGACATTTTTGTAGAATTCGGTAAAAAAAAGAAAAACACTTAAATATTTCGAGAGCCGCATTGCACGCGGACGCAAGACGGCACTTCACGAACACGTATTTCTTTTTTGTCATCGCTATTTTAAAGACGGTGACGCCGCATTAACACATCGTTGGTAGGCTTTCAGGCGCTCGCCGTTCATCGTAAATTAATTTGGAGGGGGGGCGGTCGTTTTTATTTTTCACTACTTTGCAATTATATCGTCGGGAGCCACGCAGCGGCCCTCAAAAGAGCCACCGCATGCGGCTCCGGAGCCAGAGGTTTGCCGACCCCCCCTGGCTTGGGGCGAGGGATAAATGCACAGAGAGGATTAGGGGGTCATGGATGATGGATGACGGCGGGGTCAGGTCGGGGTTATGGAATATGGATTGCGGGTAGGCTTAGAGGTAAGCGATAAGGGTTAGAGGGGCTGGGGATACGGATGTTAACTACCTCGCCTGGTACACAGGAGGTCGTGGGTTCGATCCCAACCCTGATGTCTGCTGTATATTTGGAGTTGGTGAGTTCTCCCCGTGTTCACAGGGACTTTTTTTTATCCTGGTCCTCCGGTTTTTCCCTCCACATTTAGACTCAACACGCCTTGAGAGTATTTGGCTGCTATACATTTCCACGCGATAGGCCACGTCGTTGAGCTGTCATTTGTGTCCAGGTCGCTTCTGAAAAAGAGCTACATAGCTCAGTGGGCTTTACCTGCTAAAATAAAAATAGTTTAGAGTTTAGTTTATATGGATAGCGGTAGGGGTAGAGGATTAGGACTAGAATTATCGACAGTCAGGGGTAAAGGTAGGGGAACGATACTAGGAAGAGGGAATTGAGTAGAAGACAAGGTCAGCATTATGTGTAGGGCTTGGAGTTCAGCATTCGGATGCTGCTACTGACGACGAAGACAATTGTGACGATGTACATGCTGATGCCCTTGTTGTTGCTGATGACTTTGATGGTGACCGCGTATGCGCCTATGTATGACTATGGCGACGACGGCCGATTTGGCGATGGCGATGCCTCACCTTGCCGACGGCGGGCGTCACCCCGTCGCTGTTGTTGACCCACACGCCCAGCTGATTGCCCAGGTCGTAGGGCCGGTAGGAGCCGGGGGGGTCGTCCTTGGTGAGACACGGGTCCTGAGGTCGGGAGACGGGACAGAGAGGAGAGGAGGGGGGGGTGAGGGGACACGGATGCTTGCGGCATCATGACCTGGCTAAAGGGGCAGTAGGTGCAGGAGATTGGCTAACTAACGGTGGCCATGGCTGCTAACATGAACGACTGTGAGGCGATCTGGTTCGTGAGGTTGAAGCGACCAAGGGTGACAGGTCACAACGGCGCAACAATGTGGCTAAAAGTGCAGCAATGTGGCTAAGCTTAAGATGAAGTGGTTCACGGTACGGCAACGCGGTGAAACGTAGCACGTGTGGGTGGGCGCTCGCTCACGGCCGGTGAGAAATGGCTGTGAGGATTGCTCGGCTCGCTCACCGGTGAGGAAGCCGAATCGACAGTCATCGGCGCGTCGTTAAACACTCGACATTGCGACGACCCCAGCGTGTCTGGCCGTGTCGGCCGGCGGAGGGCCTCGCGACACAGATTCGGCCAGATCATGATTACGCGGCCGAACCCACAAACTCTTGTTACGTGTCAACGTGGTGGCAAGAGGTGGTGATTCTGATTGTCTGCCGGCCTGGGGGCCGTCCATAAATGACGTCACGCGATTTGGGACGATTTTTGACCCCCCCTCCCCCCGTTGTCACATGGCGTCACAAAACGTCAGACCCCCCTTTCAAATATGACGTCACAAAGCTCTGCCCCCTCCCCCCCAAATAAGATAAAACATGCTTAAAATCGCTTTAAACTATTGTCATTGTAGTGCGTATTTAATGTGCCGATGCACTTTGTTGTCGGAGAAAACATTTATAAAAAAAAGTCTATTTAATTAAGTAGAACGTGTTGTCTATATTTTTTTAAAGTTGCGCATTTTGATGTGACGTCACATTTCTCAAACCCCCTCCCCCCCTCGTCACACATCGTCACAAATTTCTGACCCCCCCCTAGGTGCGTGACGTCATTTATGGACGGCCCCATAGAAGGACCTTGCCCCTACCCTCCCACCGCGTGACCCCCCCCCCCTCGCACCAGGATGATGACGTATCGCATGCCGTCTTTCTGCAGATCTTTGACGTATTGGCCGAGGCCTGCGTAGCGCACGTTGTCGATGGTGAAGTCTCGCTGCTCCTGCATGTAGTCGATGTCGCCGAACTGCACGTCCTGCAAGCGGCACGCGACACACACACAAAGGTTAAGCCTCTGTTGCAGCCTCGGCACGCTGTTGGGGCAAGTGCTGCTCGCGAGGGCACCTCGTCGACGCCCGATGGGGAGTTTTCGTGCGATCTACCAACCCTCGCTGCTGCCTCCACGGCACAGACTCACGGGCAGCCACGAGTGGTGCAGCCGCCACCATCACCACCACCGACACCTCCACCGCCACCACCATCATCACCGACACCACCACCACCGCCGCCACCTCCACCACCACCACAATCACCACCGGCGCCACCACCACCACCACTGACACCACCACCTCTACCACCACCGCCGCCACCTCCAACACCACCGCCTCCACCACCACCACCGCCACCTCCACTGCAATCACCACCATCGCCACCTCCACCGCAATCACCACCATCACCACCGCCTCCACCACCACCATCGCCGCCACCACCACCACCACCTCCACCACCATCGCCGCCACCACCACCGCCGCCACCTCCACCATCACCACCACCACCGCCACCACCACCGCCGCCACCTCCACCATCACCACCACCACCGACACCGCGTGCCACTTACGTGCGGGATGTCGCTGGCGCGCATGCGGTCCACGGTGGCGCGCACCGTCTCCAGGCTGTTGTAGCCGTAGCGCGACAGCTGGAAGCCCAGCGACCAGTACGGGGGCAGGAAGGGCCGCCCCACCGCCTGCAAACCCAGGTTGCAAGTCACCAGCTCGATTTGAATTTCGCACGTGGGACTTTCGCGACCAATATGATTAATAATTAGCACGGTTGGCAAACGTACGGTGCGAAAGAAGTTCAACACGCAGTGCAGTAGTAACATCGTGTGATGCTGTATACGTGGAGTTTGCGTCTCTCCGTGGCTAGATGTTAACTACTTCGCCTGGTATGCAGGAGGTCGTGGGTTCGACCCCTACCCTGACGACGCCTGCTGTATATTTGAGATTTGCGTGTCTCTCTCCCCGGCTTCCTCGAGTTTTTCCCTCCACATTTAGCATCGATGTCATGCGCTTAGAGTATTTGGCTGCGAAAAATTTCCACACGATCAGCCACTTCCCTGAGGTATAGTTTTTGATAACCAGTTCGTGTCTGAAAAAAAGAGCTAAACAGCTCAGCGGGCCATTACCTGGTAAAATAAGAATATGAAACATAAGAATAGGTCTTACCCTTTCTGGAAATAAAACAGGAGGTGTTAAGATGTTCAAACAGAACGCTTTTGTCAAGGAATCAAGTCTGCATTGACCACGTGCAGTACTTGTGGTGAACTCGCAAACAAACGTGCTCCGATGAAGTCACGTATGTAGAAATAAAATAAAAGAAATCACAAATAAAATTAAATAAATCACGACGTTTCGAACGCAACACAAGCGCTCATCATCAGGTGAAAATGGGGCAAAACACATAGCGAGGGAACACACAGAGGGACATCACACACAGAGCACACAGAGAATGGCAAACTGCACGGAGGCAAATCTATTTTATTTCTACATACGTGACTTTACCGAAAGAACCAATGAGTATAGTAATTCCTGCAGTCACGAAAGCTTCCAATCTAGATTAATGCTCCGACAACATACGCAATTGTCCTTTGAAACGACAGTAGGAATAGTACTGGTAGGAACCTCCTGGTTACACCAGCCCACAGGGGATTATTGTGTCCGTCCGTCCGTCGTGCAGGGACGGGCTGGGTGGGGAGGGAGGGGCTGGGTGGGGAGGGTGGGGCTGGGTGGGGAGGGGAGGATGGGGAGGGTGGGGAGGGGCTGGGTGGAGAGGGTGGGGAGGGGCTGAGTGGGAAGGGTGGGGCTGGGTGGGGGGTGGGAGGGGTGGGGCTGGGTGGGGAGGGGCTGGTCACCCCGTGGTGCCCTTATAAAACTCAACGTTTAACCTACTCACGCCGGCTTGTGCCCGCCCTCACAGTCGGGCATATTTGCGGAATACACCACGCCGCCGTTGACCCTGGCCATTGACCGAGCAACCCAATGTTCCTACCAGCTCCCTCCGCAGGAATGTGTTTTAGTTGAATTAAACGCACAGACAAATTAAAACTCGTTGAGTGTGTACCTCCGTGTACTGCTGCACCACCCCCTCGGGCGTGGGTCCCAGGAAGACGTAGAAGTCGAGCACGCCCCCGATGGTGCGGTACGTGATGCCGGGCAGCGGCGACAGCGCAACCTCTGCCACATACAGAGGGCGCGAAGCAGGGGCGTCGGTGGGGCAGTCGGTGCGGGTGTGTGACGAGTGTGTGGGTGGTGTCTTGGGTGGTGCGGGTGTGTGGGTGGTGGGGTGTGTGGGGGTGTGTGGGTAGTGGGGGTGTGTGGGTGGTGGGGTGTGCGGGAATGCGAGTGTGTGAGTAGTTGGGTGTGCAGGTGTGTGTGAGTGTGTCGGTGGCTGGGTGTGTGAGTGTGGGTGGCTGGGTGTGTGCGTGTGGGTGGCTGTGTGTGCAGGTGAGTGTGAGTGGCTGGGTGTGCAGGTGTGTGTGTGGGTGTTTGGTGTACAGGTGTGTGCAAGTGTGTGTGTCTGGGTGTGTAGGTGTGTGTGAGTGGTTGGTGTGCAGGTGAGTGTGGGTGGCTGGGTGTGCAGGTGTGTGTGAGTGTGTGAGTGTGGGTGGCTGGGTGTGTGAGTGGCTGTGTGTGCAGGTGTGTGTGAATGTGTATGATTGTGGGTGGCTGGGTGTGTAAGTGTGAGTGGCTGTGTGTGCAGGTGTGTGTGAGTGTGTGTGGCTGAGTGTGCAGGTGTGTGTGAGTGTGGGTGGCTGTGTGTGCAGGTGTGTGTGAGTCTGTGTGAGTGTGGGTGGTTGGTGTGCAGGTGAGTGCGAGTGTGGGTGGCTGGGTGTGTGCGAGTGTGGGTGGTTGGTGTGTAGGTGTGGGCGAGTGTGGGTGGTTGGTGTGCAGGTGTGTGTGAGTGTGGGTGGCTGGGTGTGTGTGAGTGTGGGTGAGTGTGGGTGGCTGGGTGTGTGAGTGTGGGTGGCTGTTTGTGCAGGTGTGTGTGAGTGAGTGTGGGTGGCTGGGTGTACAGGTGTGAGTGTGGGTGGCTGGGTGTGTGAGTGTGTGGGTGTCTGGGTGGTGCTGAATCTGCGGTGCGCACCCTGCGCGTTCGCGTTGAGCAGCAGCACGCCGTGCGCCTTGGCGTCGTCCTCCAGGCACATGTAGAAGTTGTGGACGCCGTAGAGGTTCCCGTTGGCCTGCGCGCCACAGGCGGAGTGAGCGAGCGTTGGGGGGGGGGGGCACGCGGCAGTAACCGGAGCCCCTTTTTGCTCGCGATTGCGGCCCGTTTCACCGCCACTCAAGCGTTATTTTGACAATAAAAAAACCTCCAAAAATGTGCCTGCAAATTGCACAATTGGGATTATACCATAAATATAGCAATCATAGCCCCCCACCACCCCCCCTTGCCCCACTACTGCAACCATTCATAAGGAAATAACTCAACATATTTGTCAATAACACTGCGTGCAGACCTTAAATAAAACAAAGATATATTTCGCAGGCGACATTTCGGGCAATGGCCCTTCAAAAGCACCTGGACAGGCCAGAGAGGTAAAATACCTACGAGAATCACCCAGGAATGTCCTTAACGCTTGTGACGTCACTCCACATCGACCACCCCCCCTCACTAATAATCATGAGCAAGTGTCGTCACTCCACATCGAACAGCCCCCTTATTAATAATCATGAGCAGGTGACGTTCTCCAAATTGACACCCCCCACCATTAATAATAATTAGCGGGTGACGTCACTCCACATGGGGGAGGCGAGGCGCCTCCTCCTTCCTCCTCGGCGTCAACTCACAACCCTCACTACAAAGGCAGAACCCTCACGTCACGTGATCTCCGTCACGCTGTTGAGACATCGAAGTAAAAAGGACGTCATGATGAACAAGGGATTATAACCTTTAAATTAAATAGGTCTGTGTCACCGCGCCCTTACAAATTGCACACGAATTGATGCAATTAATATCACGTCGCGGTCTGCTGTTCGCTTGCAAGTTTCAGACTTACTGCAATACACCCGTCCTTGGACGGGCAAAAGGCGAGTTATAACAATAAATAGCTTGTACGTAGACACTTGAACATAGGCCCCAGCGTGGCGAGTTCATGGTGAGATTGTGGTGATATCATTGTAGTGGGGTGAGTGTTAAGGGTATAGTTGGTTTAGGGTAGTTGGTGATACGAGGGTTGGAGGTGTGGCGACCACAAACCTGTCAACTCACACGGTTTACCCGTATTCCTGTACAGAGAAATTGCGTTTTCAGGTCCATACGGCGTACAGCCGTTTCAATACGGGCAACAACACTTGTTTGTGTCTATTTGTGTTTCTCTACTTGCGATGGGACTTTGTAGGATGAACGTTGAGATTTATAAGGGTCACGGGGTGACCAATAAGATCTGAATTGGTCTGTAATAAGATAGGCACTGACAAGGGGTTGACAGGTATGTGACTACTCTGGTGTTGATGTAGAATGCGCGTTGATGCGGTTGCTTTATTGTGATAAGAGGAAGTTTTCATGTGGTGGGGCAAGCACCGGCGTGGTAGTAAGGTGGTGGTTGGTGGATCCTGTTTCTCGGTCGTATTGTTGTGGTTTGGCTATCTTTGGTGGGGCGAGAGCTGGTACGCCGGTGTGACGAGTGTGGGTGTGTCGGGTTTATGTTCAAGGTGGTGCATCACCCAGTCATCTCAGTCGGTCAACCCATGGCACCTGGGTCTGTCCCGTGACCTCCTGCCAGCGAGCGTTTGACACTTCACGTGGCCCTGAAGTGCACCTAGCCTGGCACAAGAGCCGCGGTGGCATCACCACCACTCGGTGGCGAACGGCGGTTGTTGCTGTATTTAAGGTGCGCGCGTGCGTATGGAGTCGATGTACTGCCTGGGATTATGCACACAGCAGCCAACGTCGCTCCCTTCCTGGCGGACATAATGCCCGCTTGCAGGCCATGAGTGGAGTCACCTCGTGACGCACGGGGACAGCTGCCACTGGGGGTGCCCTTTAAAATGTGTTGGAGCCGAGACGCGACAATGTCAAGCGCTCTCGAGATGTCCCGGCGTGTAGGTGGGCGCTTTATATACACGCATTTATAAACAATTCTCATGATCGTGGTGCGGCGAGGGCAGGGTGCGGTGGATCACCGTGGGTGGTTGGTCGCGGGAGTACATTCCGTACGTCTTGAAGTTGAGCGACTGGCGGTAGCGCGAGCGCTCGTGCTCCCCTAAGCCGTAGATGCGCGAGGATGGGAGGCGCGTGGCGATCTGCAGGAACTGGTCGGCGAACGTGAGTCCCGCCAGGGACGTGTCAAACCTGGGAGCGGCGAGGGGGTTAGGGTTAGGGCCCGGTTAGGGACGTGTCTAACCTGGGAGCAATGAGAGGCAGAAGTTAGGGTTAGAGTCCGGTTAGGGACAAGTGCATCATGGGGGTGTTGATGTTAATTACATCAGTGAGCTGTGGTAGCGACAGCAAAAAAGTGATTATGGTTCTGACGATGATAATGGAATTAATATATGACGATGACGACCATGACATACATGGTGATGCTGATGCTGCCACGACGACGATTATTATTATTATTCCCGTTCAATTACAATGACGTAGTGGTGACAATCCAGGCATTGTGACGTTGCCATGACCATCTCGTGACGACGACGATGACGACGTCGCCACACTGCTGTGATTCACACCGACACGAATTTCGCAGCGACGATGCTGCTGCCGCGCGGGGCGCGCCGTCGGTGGATGTCATCGTTGCTGGGCCAGGGTGCCTCGGACTACTCACAGCACGGCGCCCGTGTCCTTGCGCACGACCTTGATGCTGAAGCCGTTGTCGTTGCTCCACTGGAAGTCATACGCCTTGACCGCGGGCGCCGAGTCGGGCCGGGGGATCTCCAGCGGCACCTCGAAGCGGTTCGAGTTGGGGTCGTAGAACTGAGGGAGAGGTAGCCATGCGGTTGGGGGGGGGGGGGGGGGGCAGCCGCACTTTTGAAGTTGGCAGTGGTCAAAAACGTAACTATTGTACCCCCCCCCCTGTCCCTGGCTGCAAGACCAAATCTTGTAACGCTGACTCAAACCCTTCACTTAAAACCCTAATGCCTAATTCTAACCCGGACTCTAACCCTGGTTATAATCCTAGCCCCGACGTTCGCAATAATCATGGCTCTAGCTATAAATTATGTTTTCTAATCACAACCCTGACCCGAACTCGAAACCTGCCCCAAACCCTCATTTGCTTCGCAGTGGATGTTAAAGATCCCCGTAGGTCGTTCCCGAGATCGGCCCATCGTGTGCCAGTGTCAAGGATCCACATTTCCCGAATTCGAAAATTGCACCGCGAGTTACTCAATCTGGATGAAACACAGAGCAGCAATCGTCGCCCCCTGCCGGCAGACGAATGCCAAAGGTCGCTCCTGCCAACGCGACTCATCCTGGTTACCTCGAGGCCCCACGTGCCTAAACAAAATGAACTAGTCCTAACGTTGAGCCCACTTCGACTCTTACGCTCATCCCCCCTTCTCTCATCCTAACCCTAACCGTTATCCCGGCCTCTAAGCCTCTCCCCTCTCTCCTGGGCGACCTTGAATCGGAGTCGGTCCTGCGTGTGGAACTCCACGTCGAGCGTCACGCGCTCCAGGTCTCCGCCGAACATTGTCGTCGTGTGGATGCGCTGCAGCTCGAACCTGCATCGACAGTGGCAGGGATCGGGACGAGGGTTTGGTGATGAACGTTTCCGCCGACTTTACGTAACGGCAGAAGCGGCAGGAGTTAATAACGATAACGAAAATGGAGTTAATAATAACAACAACTGTTTCCTACTGCTGGTGAAATAAAGAATCCTAGTTAACGCGGAACGTCGAGGCAACGTTGGCTCGACGTTTCGTGTTGACTCGCTTGATTGATATCGGTTGATATTTTATGATTACCCCTGTTCACACAGGCACAGCCTCACTGAGTCACGTGACTGTTTCCAGGAGGGTTCTGCCAAATTTGTATCGTATCTGTTCCAATTGAATGATTTGTTAGATATAGGTGTACACGTGTACAGGGGTGTGTGCTCGTATATATGTGTACACGTGTGCTTGCAGGATATATAGGTGTACACGTGTGCATGCAGGTATATAGGTGCGCAGGTGTAATTGCAGGTATGTAGGTGCACATGCAGGTATACAAGTGTACAGATGTACGTGTAGGTGTACAGGTGTGCGTTCAGGTATATAGAGACGCATGTAGGTATATAGGTGTACATGCAGGTATATCGATGCACATGTGTACACGTAGGTGTACAACAGATGCACATGCAGGTGTATCGGTGCACAGGTGTACATGTAGGTGTACAACAGATGCACATGCAGGTGTATCGGTGCACAGGTGTACATGTGGGTGTACAACAGATGCACATGCAGGTGTATCGGTGCGCAGGTGTCGGCACGCGGACTCACCTGAGGCCGCGGGCCGTGTTGGCGGGCTGCCCAACGAGGCTGTAGCCGTAGGAGCCGTCGGACGGAAGATGGCAGAATGGAGCGCCGGGCACATTGGCTGGGGCGTAAATACAGCCACGCTGCTGGCACTGCACACACGCGCACGTGTAACATGTATCGTGTCACGTGCATAGCGTCACACACGCGCACACCGCACGTGTAACATGTATCATATGATGTGCACGCATGTGCATATCGCCACACGTGCATAAACGTGTGGCGATGCAGGGTGTCCGAAAATTAATGTGCCATTAAGAACGTTAAATAGTGGTGTTGTTATTCGAGATACTGACATAAATGTTACATGAATACATGTAGTAGTTTAGATTTCAAGCTTTCGTGACTGCAAGGATTCATACTCTTAGGTTTTTCGGTAAAGTCACGTAGGAAAAAAATAAGTAATATAATTAAAAAATAATAGAAATAAAAAATAAATCACGACGTTTCGGTGGCAACATAAGTCTCCGTCATCAGGTGGGACCGTCACAGCTAGATATACTGTGACGGTCCCACCTGATGACGAAGACTTGTGTTGCCTCCGAAACGTCGTGATTTATTATTATTTATCATTTTTTACCTACGTGACTTTACCGAAAAACCTAAGAGTATACATGTAGTAGACTTATACGTTTAAATTTCGATTTAAACTGTCGTGACTGCAGGGATTCATCTTCTTGGTTCTTTCGGTAAAGTCACGTAGAAGGGAAAAAAATATATTTTATGTTTTATTTTTATTATTTTATTATTTCCCTTCTACGTGACTTTACCGAAAGAACCAAGAAGATTACACGTTTAAGTTTATTGAACATTTTTTTATGGTACTGATTAGATATTCTCGAATACCTACGATAATCACCCGGGAATGTCCTTAACGCTCGTGACGTCACACCACGTCGACCAGCCCCCCTCGTTAATATTCATGAGCAGGTGACGTCCTCCAGATCACCCTAATTAATATTCATGAACGTCCTCCAAATGGACACCCCCCCACTCCTCATTCATAATCATGAGCGGGTGACGTCACTCCGCATGGAGAACCCCCCCTCATTAATAATCATGAGCGGGGACGTCACTCCACATCGAACAGCCCCCCTCATTAATAATCATGACCAGGTGCCATCCTCCAAATGGACACCCCTCCTTCATTAATAATAATTAGCGGGTGACGTCACTCCACATGGGGGGGGGGGGGCGAAGCGCCTCCTCCCCCCTCCTCAGCGTCAACTTACAACCCTCACTACAAAGGCAGAACCCTCACGTCACGTGATCTCCGTCACGCTGTTGAGACATCAAAGTAAAAAGGACGTCATGATCAACAAGGGATTATAACCTTAAAATGAAATAAGTCTGTGTCACCGCGCCCTTACAAATTGCACACGCATTGATGCAATGAATATATCACGTCGCGGGCTGCTTTTCGCTTGCAAGTTTCAGATTTACTGCAAAAACACCCGTCCTTGGACGGGCAAAATGCGAGTTACTAATAAACGTCTACGTGTCGTCAATCATTCACCACGGTCGATCTAATTCGGCGTTCGAAGGCTTGGGAATTTTTTTCCCAACACAGCTGAAGGGATGGACGTTCCTACAGCAGCAGCGCCAACAAACAATACGATGTTTAAGTTCTTCAAGGTACCTCTTGGTTTGCAAGTGGAAGACTTTACTTGAGAAGAAAAAAACGTGGAGATAATTTTTTTTAATGTGGTTAAGTCGGGTGAAGGAGCGGATCTGACATTAGGGGCCGTCCATAAATGACGTCACGCGATTTTGGACGATTTTTGACCCCCCCCCCCCTTCGTCACACGACGTCGCAAAAAGTCAGACCACCCCGCAAATATGACGTCACAAAGCTCTGCCCCACCCCCCAAATAAAACATGCGTATTTAATGTGGCGCTGCACTCTGATGTTGTAGGAGAAAACTAAGTAGAACGTGTTGTCTATATTTATTTAAAGTTGCGCACTGTTGATGTGATGTCACATTTCTCAACCCCCCCCCCCCCCTTGTCACACATCGTCACAAATGTCTGACCTTCCCCCCCCCCCCAGGTGCGTGACGTCATTTATGGACGGCCCCTTATATGAGAAAGAGGAGTTCCTCCTGAGACGGAAAGTACCACACTTCAATATCCACAGCAAACTAAAAGTTAATACCTCTAACGCAGATATTCATATCAAATGTATGTCAGTATCTTGAATAACAATGTAACGATTACATTTTGTTGTTGGTATATATTCATTTTCGGATACCCTGTATATCATCTCGCGTGCACGAATGCCCACATCAACACACGTGTGCGTACGTGTGCACGACCTTATCTGGCCTTGTGCACGTGTGCACGAATTTACACTACCACCAACAACGCATATATACAAAACAAAGTACAGTACAAGCAATGAAGCGAATAGAAATTGGAGCAATAATAACATGAATCGATGTTAAATAATTACATTCCCTGTAGCGCGCGTTGGCTCCGGCAGATTATTTTGAGACTGATTACAGCACGATCACAATTAACTGCACACGTAAACACCCAAAGACAAAGATCCCCCGTATATCCATAGCAGACTGTCGGGGCAAGTGCTGAGAGCGAGCACCTATGGAAAGGCCCGCGCATGTCACGCAAGTGGGAAGGTGGCGAGAACAACGCCCGGCCGCCTTTGTCTCCGCAGTGCTGAGGTTTATCCACCGCACTAGGTACTCATTGTTGTTGGCCGTGAGCGGGAATGAACACGGCTTGGTGCTGTAGCGCAGTGGCCTAACCACTGCGCCACCGCTCCCTGCATATGTACAATATCAACTCAAAAGCTGTCCCGCTTCTATCTCTTTGTCCCCCTGCGCAGTGGCACCGCCTGCACACTGCGCACCACGCAATCATTTTAAGGCTGAGTCGACCTAGTGGAAGCCCAGGACCGGTTGAAATATCCGCCACTGTTCTTGCTCGTGAGAAGGAATCGAACACGGGTTGGTAGCGCAGTGCTCTAACCACTGCGCCACCACTCCTCACGGATATGCAAAAGCTGTCCTCTTTCTACCCCCCACTCTTCACCCCCCCGGCGCAGTTGCACCGCCTGCACGCTGCGTGTTCGCGGCACCTTGGCGGGGTCGCTGCCCCCCTCGGGCATGCAGTCCACACGCGCCGCTGCCTCTTCTGCCCCTGGGAATTCCGTCTGGTTGAAGAAGCACCAGGGAATGTCGTAGCCAGACATCTGTACCACGGGACACAAGGACAAAAGATGGCCCGCATAGCCTTCACACACAGTTGGGACAAGTGCTATTAGCGAGGGGGTGGGTGGCCAGCACCACGCTCAAGCCGTATTTGTCTCTTAGGGTCGGGCCTGCCTTGATTTTCCCAAATAATTGCTTTAAAAACCTGTTCAGAACATTATATTAATATTGCGTAGAATGTGGGGACCTGATTCTCTAGTGGTAGTGCCTTCCGCCGATGTACCGTTCGAAAGAAGTTGAACATGGATACAGAATCCCTACTCCAATCCAGCCGAGCAGCGTCCCGGAAAATATCTAGAAATATAAATCCTGGCTTCATCCCTAATGATTCAGCGCTCAGTGATTCACTCCAGCCACTCACTCACAGGTGATCAGTCGTCTCCTTATTACTCTTCTATTGCTACTACTACTACCATGGTTCCTAGTAATTCACTCATTGATTCCTCCACCCATGCTGTGGTCGTGGTTCACCCCGGACCATTTCATCTCACCCCCAACTGAATAAAGCCACCCCACTGCAGCTCACAACAAGACCCAATGTCACACTCACCCACTCGTTTGCCATCACTGCAGCTCACAACAAGACCCACTCTCACACTCACCCACTCATTTTCCATCACTGCAGCTCACAACAAGACCCACTGTCACACTCACCCACTCGTTTGCCATCACTGCAGATCACAACAAGACCCACTGTCACACTCACCCACTCATTTGCCATCACTGCAGATCACAACAAGACCCACTGTCACACTCACCCACTCGTTTGCCATCACTGCAGATCACAACAAGACCCACTGTCACACTCACCCACTCATTTTCCATCACTGCAGCTCACAACAAGATCCACTGTCACACTCACCCACTCGTTTGCCATCACTGCAGCTCACAACAAGACCCACTGTCACACTCACTCACTCGTTTGCCATCACTGCAGCTCACAACAAGACCCACTCTCACACTCACCCACTCGTTTGCCATCACTGCAGCTCACAACAAGACCCACTCTCACACTCACCCACTCGTTTGCCATCACTGCAGATCACAACAAGACCCACTGTCACACTCACCCACTCGTTTGCCATCACTGCAGCTCACAACAAGACCCACTCTCACACTCACCCACTCGTTTGCCATCACTGCAGATCACAGCAAGACCCACTCTCACACTCACCCACTCATTTGCCATCACTGCAGGTCACAACAAGACCCACTCTCACACTCACCCACTCATTTGCCATCACTGCAGCTCACAACAAGACCCACTTTCACACTCACCCACTCATTTGCCATCACTGCAGATCACAACAAGACCCACTGTCACACTCACCCACTCATTTGCCATCACTGCAGATCACAACAAGACCCACTGTCACACTCACCCACTCGTTTGCCATCACTGCAGATCACAACAAGACCCACTGTCACACTCACCCACTCGTTTGCCATCACTGCAGATCACAACAAGACCCACTGTCACACTCACCCACTCATTTGCCATCACTGCAGATCACAACAAGACCCACTGTCACACTCACCCACTCGTTTGCCATCACTGCAGATCACAACAAGACCCACTGTCACACTCACCCACTCATTTTCCATCACTGCAGCTCACAACAAGATCCACGGTCACACTCACCCACTCGTTTGCCATCACTGCAGCTCACAACAAGACCCACTGTCACACTCACCCACTCGTTTGCCATCACTGCAGCTCACAACAAGACCCACTCTCACACTCACCCACTCGTTTGCCATCACTGCAGCTCACAACAAGACCCACTCTCACACTCACCCACTCGTTTGCCATCACTGCAGATCACAACAAGACCCACTGTCACACTCACCCACTCGTTTGCCATCACTGCAGCTCACAACAAGACCCACTCTCACACTCACCCACTCGTTTGCCATCACTGCAGATCACAGCAAGACCCACTCTCACACTCACCCACTCATTTGCCATCACTGCAGGTCACAACAAGATCCACTCTCACACTCACCCACTCATTTGCCATCACTGCAGCTCACAACAAGACCCACTTTCACACTCACCCACTCATTTGCCATCACTGCAGATCACAACAAGACCCACTGTCACACTCACCCACTCATTTGCCATCACTGCAGATCACAACAAGACCCACTGTCACACTCACCCACTCGTTTGCCATCACTGCAGATCACAACAAGACCCACTGTCACACTCACCCACTCATTTGCCATCACTGCAGATCACAGCAAGACCCACTGTCACACTCACCCACTCGTTTGCCATCACTTCAGCTCACAACAAGACCCACTGTCACACTCACTCACTCATTTGCCATCACTGCAGCTCACAACAAGACCCACTGTCACACTCACCCACTCGTTTGCCATCACTGCAGCTCACAACAAGACCCACTCTCACACTCACCCACTCATTTGCCATCACTGCAGATCACAACAAGACCCACTGTCACACTCACCCACTCATTTTCCATCACTGCAGATCACAACAAGACCCACTGTCACACTCACCCACTCGTTTGCCATCACTGCAGCTCACAACAAGACCCACTGTCACACTCACCCACTCATTTGCCATCACTGCAGATCACAACAAGACCCACTCTCACACTCACCCACTCGTTTGCCATCACTGCAGATCACAACAAGACCCACTGTCACACTCACCCACTCGTTTGCCATCACTGCAGATCACAGCAAGACCCACTCTCACACTCACCCACTCGTTTGCCATCACTGCAGCTCACAACAAGACCCACTGTCACACTCACCCACTCGTTTGCCATCACTGCAGCTCACAACAAGACCCACTCTCACACTCACCCACTCGTTTGCCATCACTGCAGCTCACAACAAGACCCACTCACACACTCACCCACTCGTTTGCCATCACTGCAGATCACAACAAGACCCACTGTCACACTCACCCACTCGTTTGCCATCACTGCAGCTCACAACAAGACCCACTGTCACACTCACCCACTCGTTTGCCATCACTGCAGCTCACAACAAGACCCACTGTCACACTCACCCACTCGTTTGCCATCACTGCAGCTCACAACAAGACCCACTCTCACACTCACCCACTCGTTTGCCATCACTGCAGCTCACAACAAGACCCACTCTCACACTCACCCACTCGTTTGCCATCACTGCAGATCACAACAAGACCCACTGTCACACTCACCCACTCGTTTGCCATCACTGCAGCTCACAACAAGACCCACTCTCACACTCACCCACTCATTTGCCATCACTGCAGCTCACAACAAGACCCACTTTCACACTCACCCACTCATTTGCCATCACTGCAGATCACAACAAGACCCACTGTCACACTCACCCACTCATTTGCCATCACTGCAGATCACAACAAGACCCACTGTCACACTCACCCACTCGTTTGCCATCACTGCAGATCACAACAAGACCCACTGTCACACTCACCCACTCATTTGCCATCACTGCAGATCACAGCAAGACCCACTGTCAATCTCACCCACTCGTTTGCCATCACTGCAGCTCACAACAAGACCCACTGTCACACTCACTCACTCATTTGCCATCACTGCAGCTCACAACAAGACCCACTGTCACACTCACCCACTCGTTTGCCATCACTGCAGCTCACAACAAGACCCACTCTCACACTCACCCACTCATTTGCCATCACTGCAGATCACAACAAGACCCACTGTCACACTCACCCACTCATTTTCCATCACTGCAGATCACAACAAGACCCACTGTCACACTCACCCACTCGTTTGCCATCACTGCAGCTCACAACAAGACCCACTGTCACACTCACCCACTCATTTGCCATCACTGCAGATCACAACAAGACCCACTCTCACACTCACCCACTCGTTTGCCATCACTGCAGATCACAACAAGACCCACTGTCACACTCACCCACTCGTTTGCCATCACTGCAGATCACAGCAAGACCCACTCTCACACTCACCCACTCGTTTGCCATCACTGCAGATCACAACAAGACCCACTGTCACACTCACCCACTCGTTTGCCATCACTGCAGATCACAACAAGACCCACTCTCACACTCACCCACTCGTTTGCCATCACTGCAGATCACAACAAGACCCACTGTCACACTCACCCACTCGTTTGCCATCACTGCAGATCACAGCAAGACCCACTCTCACACTCACCCACTCATTTGCCATCACTGCAGATCACAACAAGACCCACTGTCACACTCACCCACTCGTTTGCCATCACTGCAGCTCACAACAAGACCCACTGTCACACTCACCCACTCATTTGTCATCACTGCAGCTCACAACACTCTCACACTCACCCACTCGTTTGCCATCACTGCAGCTCACAACAAGACCCACTCTCACACTCACCCACTCGTTTGCCATCACTGCAGATCACAGCAAGACCCACTCTCACACTCACCCACTCATTTGCCATCACTGCAGCTCACAACAAGACCCACTGTCACACTCACCCACTCGTTTGCCATCACTGCAGCTCACAACAAGACCCACTGTCACACTCACCCACTCATTTGTCATCACTGCAGCTCACAACACTCTCACACTCACCCACTCGTTTGCCATCACTGCAGCTCACAACAAGACCCACTCTCACACTCACCCACTCGTTTGCCATCACTGCAGATCACAGCAAGACCCACTCTCACACTCACCCACTCATTTGCCATCACTGCAGCTCACAACAAGACCCACTGTCACACTCACCCACTCGTTTGCCATCACTGCAGATCACAGCAAGACCCACTCTCACACTCACCCACTCATTTGCCATCACTGCAGCTCACAACCACACCTACTCTCACACTCTCACCCACACCACAGGTCACCGCACTTCTCCTTCTGCTTCTTTCCTCGCACTGCTCCACTTTGGAAATCCCCTACTCCCATCATCATCATCGTCGTCGTTTACCTCTACAAGCTGGTGTACAAAAAAAACACCTCGCTCAATTAAAAAAGCGTGCTGCACTCCTAGGGCTCTTACAACTTTGGTCGTGCTGCCTGTTGCTGGTCGCTTGACGTGTTGTGCCTTTGGGGGCCTGTGCTCAGCAACATTTCGAAACATGCGTTTTGGAGTGTTTGGCTGCTGCTATAAATGTCCACACGAGAAGCCACTCCGTATATCATTTGTGGCAAGGTCGCTTCTGAAAAGAGCCCTATAGCTCAGTGGGTCTTACCCGGTAAAATAAAATATAGTTTAGAGTTTTAGTTTAAATAAACAACAATAATGTACAAATACTCGCTCTCTCTATGCTCACTGCCCCCCCCATCCTCCTCCCCCATCCACCTCCTGTCCGCACCTGCGCGGGGCACCACACGCAGCCCGAAGCCTCGCACGAGCCCTGGGTCACGGGCGTGTTGGGGGAGCAGTCGATGCGGTCCAGTTCTGGGATGACCGTCTGACACATCTGGGAGGGATGGAAGGAAGGGGGGAGACACAGGGTTAGGGTTGTGGAGAGAGTGCCGGGGGCGGAGGGGTGGTTATTTGGAGCAGAGTGAGTGGTCACGGTGCCGGGCAAGCATCTTTTTCAAGCTTGCCACCCAAGGGTTGGAAAGGAGCGTAATGCCAATGTCGAGGTATGCTTGCTACGACGAGAGGCCTCCGTCGGAACGAGTAAGTTATTGTGTGCCGGCGTCACGGTCAAATGTGACGATGTTTCCATGTTTATTTGAAAAAAATTAGACAGTGCCCCAGAACGGCAGACGAATGTCCCATTGCAGGCCAGGTGCTGCGTCACCTTTGTGACGCACAAGGACAGCTGCCACGGGGGGGGGAGGTGGCAGGGTGGTGTATTTGTCGGGGGCCGCACTAAGGGCCACCAGAGGGCCGCCGGTGGCCCAACGGACCTAGCAATGAAGATCACCGAATGACAGTTGTATGGCTATCATCATCATGCATATTCCTTGTCCCCCCTCACGTTGTCATCCCCTCCTCCCGAGGGAGGTGGCGCTGCTCCCGCGTCTCCGTAGAAGCACCACGGGGCGCCCTGCGTTGATGCCGGAGACCAGCAGCAGCCCTTGGAGAGGCACTTCTCCTCGCTGGAGCCGGGCTCCGGGTGGCAGTCGCGACGCTCCCAGTCCGCGTACTGCGCACACGGCTTGATCACCTCCTCCTTTCCGTCGGGGAAGAAGCACCAAGGTGTGCCCTTGCGATCGCAGAGAGAGAGAGAGGGAGATAAGAAGTCCCCGACCAGGAGTCTGAAAATCTTTGTTCAATTTTTTTTTACTGGGGTTGTTCCACCTGATGATGGAAGCTTGTGTTGCCTTCGAAACGTCGTGATTTAGTTATTTTTATTTGTACTTTATTTTCACCTACGTGCCTTTACCGAAAGAACCAAAGAGTATGGATCCCTGCAGTCACGAAAACTTCAAATCTAGAATGTCTGGAATCTGTCAAAGAAGCGCTGCAAAGCTTTGTGTTGGAGAACGGCCCACAGAAGCGGATATCACAGAGCTACTTCTGAGATTCCCTTCAAGTGACCTCTGGGCGAGTCGAGGGCAACACCTTGTCGCTCAATTCTGCATCTGAGAGTGAGGTAACGTTGACGGTGGTCAAACCGGATGTTTAAATTCCCAGGCCTGGAATTTAGTCAAAAAAATTTGAGCGAACAACCACATTTAATGCGATGGATGTTTTTTGTGCAGTCATTTGGTGAGCAGGCTGAGACAATTCATCTCACCGCACTTGAGGACGCGGTTTAATCACAGGCAGCTGTCGAGACTCGAACCCAGGACAATGGCAGTGCTCAAAAGTATACTTACACTCTTCCACCACGAATCTGTTACAGTTGAACATAAACTAATGTTGCACATTAGGAATGGACCACTCTTTTAATGATTTCCTCGTGTAGCAATGGAGTAAAGTGTGGTTTGTGAAGGTCCTTATGTGCTGTGCATTACATCAATGCACGTGTGTACACCAGCATGCGATACTGGATCGGGCCTGCAGGCGGCTGGCGGGGTTATTGAGTAGCCTGACCTGTACACCAGTCACGTGGTTAATGCCGACTCGGTTGAGAATTGATGTGTGTGATGCACATGCTGGTGCATTTTACAGATTATCGCAATAAATGTGTTTGCAGTCGATTTGAAGCACCTGCCCACGTCCTTAATTTCGAGTGTGCAACACTAAAATTACTTTTTTTTAATAGGTAACGGCCACCATATAGCTCTTTTTCCAAAGCGACCTGGACACAAATGATAGCTCAACGACATGGCTTATTATGTGGAAATTTATAGCAGCCAAAATACTCTAAACGCATATTCCTAAATGTGGGGGGAAACACCCGGAGAAAAATCCACGTGACCACGGGGAGAGAGACGCAAACTCCAAATATACAGGCGTAATGGTTGAAACTGAACCGACGAGCTCCTACATATCGGCCGAGGTAGTTAACATCGTGGCCCCATCGCGCCAGATTGCTTTGGATCAGGCTTAATCGAGTGGCATACGGTTACCAGGGCATACTTTTTGTGGCTGTGTCTGGGTAATGGTGACCTCACTGGCTCTGGATACTATTTACGTGCCACATACTCCAGTCGAACAGGAACCGTTTAAAACATTCAGTGAGAAGTATTTAACTGCTAACATCCATTGCTGGGGGTTAGCTCGGTTAAAAGCGGGTAGCGCCCTTGGAAAAGCGATCTTCTCGGCCCACATAAAAGGGATCTGCTCAGGGCGGGGTGCAGCTTTGCCTGGTTCTGTGTTATCTCGTTTCCAAGAGCCACAGGGCTCGAGTTCAAACTCATGTTGCCCCACCACCCTTACCCATTCCGGCACCACGTTTCCATGTTTTTAGTCAATCCCCACTGCTTGTTTTGGGGGCCACTTTTTGCAGTAATTTTTGCGCTGATGACTGGAATTCTCTGGGCCAATTTCTGCTTTCAAAGGCTGGCCTGAAATCTCCGACATCAGAGTTTGGGCTGAGTGGATATAGAATAGCAAAATTTTTGTTAATAAAATATATATAACTTTAAAATTACAATGAGTATTTTGAATTTAACATTTGATATGTTTCTGAATTATTGATTCATTTGGTTGGTTAGTAAAGCCGTGGTGCTGACCTTTGACTCAGAAGTATTTTTTCCAGAAAATCTCACTCATAAATATTTCTGGGAAATAATTTGCCCAACTCGTACAATAGCAAATAATGAGTCAGTTCTTTTCGATAACTGAGAAATGCTCATAAAATACCATGGGTAAAATACACATGGGCCCGGCAGCTTATCTGTCCACATGCCCTATGGATTCATATCCCATTGACTAACGAGAATACCGATTGTATAATATATTCAACTTAGAAAAGCCTCGGTTTCAGGAGGGTGCTGCTGCATTGGAATTTTGGCCAATATTATTGATAAGAGTTTGGCTTCACACGGGTAACCGGAGAACCCGGAGAGAACCCACCACGGATGACACGGGGCAACACTTAATACTTTGCCGAGATGGATTCACGAACACACTTGCTGTACTCCAAATACTGGCTACCTCGCAGTCCAGACGTCGTTTCACAAATCTTTACCCAACCCACCGACCCATGAAAGGGGCGCACCACCGGGGACTAATTTTAGGCTGAGTCGACATTGGGGAGGCCCAAGACCGGTTCAGACGATTATCACCGGTGTTGCTGGCCGCGAGCGGGAATCGACCTCGTTGGCGGGTTCGTAGCTCAGCGCGCTAACCGCTGCACCACCGCTCTCCACCGACACCCTCCCACCTCACCCATCCCACTCACGCACCCCCACCCCACTCCATCAACTCCTCTCACCTGGATCTGAGCCTCGCACCAGATGCATCCCTTCGCCTCGCACCCGCCTTGGCTGGCCCCGGACTCCGGGTAACAGTCCCGTCTCTCGCTCTCCGGGGGAGCATCGACAGCACAGGCGTCAACATACGACAACAGCAGGGGCAGCAGCACGAGCAGTAGCAGCGCGCGTGTGTGCTGCATGGTTGGAGGTTGCATGACGCAGTCACTTACGAGACAGACAATAACCCAGGCTTGTTGAGTACTTTTTGCACCCTAGCTGTGTGTGTGTGTACCCACCCACGGTGCAGTGTGTGAGAGAGATGTGCCCGACTCTAGCCGTTATATAGTCGCGCCGTTGTGTAGTTGCACGCACGCACGCGCGCGCGCGCACCTGCGAGTCGCTCTACGCAAATATTTGAGGCCGATGCGGCTGTCAGTCACGTCGAGAGATACGGGGGGAGGAAGCTGTGTTTGCGAGCCTCTGTTTGCGCATGGGAAGGCCGCCACGTGTGTCCGTGACCTGGCAATGTCCTGCCTCGTGTGACCATTGATCCCATACGTTCATTCCAGCATCCATCAGTTTCCCCCATATTTCCACCCATCAGTTCAATCATCAATAAATCAATCCACCAATTATTATTATAAGCGTATATTTATTTAATAATTCAAGCATCCAAACAAATAATTCAGTGACTCAAGCATCCGTACATGAATTCATTCGTCAATCCAACCAAGCATCTAACGATTTGTTATTTCGCTTATACATCTACTTCATTATTAATTCACCGTTCTATCCATCCATGATCCCTTAATTCCGGCAGCATTTCATTCAAGCATTTTTCCAACCATCAATTCATCCATCCATCATTCCTTAATTCGTGCATTTACCCATTCATTGACCCACCCATTAATTTATTTAATTCATGCATAAATTCGTTGACTTAACCATTTATCAATGCATTCATACCTCCACCCATGTAACCATCATGCATGTATGTTGAACCTCTTTCTCACCGTACGTAGCCAACCATGCTAATCGAAGCGGGATGCTAATGCATCTATTCATTCCAGCATCCAAACACCGTGTGTGTGCAGCGCATGAATCACGTTCACGTTCGTATGTGTGTGAGCGTATGGGGGAGCGGTAGGGTAGTGGTTATCGCACTACGCTATGAACCAGGCTACCCGAGTTCAATTCCCAGGCCACGTCTAACATCAGTGGTGAGTGATATCTGCACCCGTATTGGGCCTCCCCCTAAGTCGACTCATCCTCAAATGAGCACCTGCTGCGGTGTGTAAATATCAGCACTGGGGAGACAAAGGTAGTTGGGCGTGGTGCTGATTACACGACGGCCCATGGCGCGCCTTGCATGCCTTATCAGGTAGGTGCCTGCTAATAGCATTTCCCCCGAATATGGGAGGGCATTTATTTATATAAATACGTGAAAGAGACCTTGAGTTCAATTCCCGGTCACATAAGGTTGCGAGTTCAATTCCTGGCCGAGGTGGAGGCCCTTAAGAGACGCTCACGAACAGCACTTGCCCCGACAGTCTTTATGGCTGTAAGGACGGGTCGGGGGGGGGGGGTAATATTTGTGTGTGTGTGTGTAATTGAGAGGTCAATTCCCGGTCACGGTGCAGTGGGCCCCACTCTGTGGTAAGTCCACGTGCCACATGCTAATGTCCGACGGCTGAGTGGAGCGCGCCTCTCAGCCAGCACTTTAGAGGCAATGGTTGGTGGATTATTTGTTGATGTATCACACAGAGATGAATGGTGAGTGGATCACACGGAGATTTGGTGAGTGGATCACACAGAGATCAACGGTGAGTGGATCACACGGAGATGAATGGTGAGTGGATCACACAGAGATGAATGGTGAGTGAATCACACGGAGGTTTGGTGGTGGATCACACAGAGATGAATGGTCAGTGGATCACACAGAGATGAATGGTGAGTGAATCACACGGAGATTTGGTGAGTGGATCACACAGAGATCAACGGTGAGTGGATCACACGGAGATGAATGGTGAGTGGATCACACAAAGATGAATGGTGAGTGGATCACACAGAGATGAATGGTGAGTGGATCACACAGAGATGAATGGTGAGTGGATCGCACGGAGATGAATGGTGAGTGGATCACACAAAGATGAATGGTGAGTGGATCACACAGAGATCAACGGTGAGTGGATCACACAAAGATTTGGTGGTGGATCACACAGAGATGAATGGTGAGTGGATCACACAGAGATGAATGGTGAGTGGATCACACAGAGATGAATGGTGAGTGGATCACACAGAGATGAATGGTGAGTGGATCACACAGAGATGAATGGTGAGTGGATCACACAGAGATGAATGGTGAGTGGATCACACAGAGATGAATGGTGAGTGGATCACACGGAGATTTGGTGAGTGGATCACACGGAGATTTGGTAGTGGATCACACAGAGATGAATGGTGAGTGGATCACACGGAGATTTGGTGAGTGGATCACACAGAGATTTGGTGGTGGATCACACAGAGATGAATGGTGAGTGGATCACACAGAGATGAATGGTGAGTGGATCACACGGAGATTTGGTGAGTGGATCACACGGAGATTTGATGGTGGATCACACAGAGATGAATAGTTGCAGGTTCATAGAGATTTGTTTAAACTCCCCAAACTCGCTGCGGGTGGCTGTGGTGGCCAGGAAATAGCACACAGTACAGCAACGTGGGTTCGTGAACCCATCTGTGCAGATCTTTTGAGTCACCCCCTCGTGTAATGCGTGGTGGGTTTTCTCCGGGTTATCTGGTTTCTCCCCACGCATAGCCAAACATCAACAGGACCCTCTTGAAAATGAGTCTTGAAACTCTTTCAACTATTTATTTTTATTTGACCAGGTAATGCCCACTAAGCTATGTAGCTCTTTTTCAGAAGCGACCTGGCCACAAATGATAGCTCAACGAAGTGGCTTGTCACTTGAACATTTATAGCAGTCACATACTCTACACGCGTGTGTTGCACACTCTTAATGAAGGACGTGGGAAGGTGCTCCAAATCAATTAAGGTTATTGTAGCAATGCACATGGGTCACATTGCGGGTTATATTTACACTTGACCCATTTATACAGGTCACTGATTATATAAATACATACATGGGACAATCGTGTATCCAGGAAAGCCTCACTGCGTCTCGATACTCATTTTTAGGAGGAACCTACTAAACTTGGATGCTTGGCCAATTCCATTTACGAGAGTTTGGTTTCGTGAAGGAGGACATTGAAGTGCCTGGAGAAAACCCACTAAGTAAACGAGGGGGTAACACTCAGAGATCCGCACAGACCGGTTCATGAACCCACTTGCTGCACTGCCACAATTCTGGCCGCCTCGCAGCCCGGAGAGTTTGTGGGGCGCCACGGTGGTGAGATGTTATCTCCATCGCCTAGTTTGCAGGAGGTCGTGCGTTTGATCCCGACCCTGACACCTGGATGTTTGGAGTTTGCATGTGTTCCCCGTGGTCGCGTGGATTTTTCTCCGGGTCCTCCGATTTTTCTCCGGGTCCTCCGATTTTCCCCTCCACATTTATAAACACGTGTTTAGACTAATTGGCTGCTATAAATGTCCACGTGAAAAGCCACTCCGTGTAACTAGAATTTGTGGCCAGGTCGTTTCTGAAAATATAGCTTATAGCTAAAGTGGCCTTTACCTGGTAAAAAAAAAAGTATAGTGTCAAACCTCTGCGTGATTCACCAACTCCGGGCAAATAAATACATTATTATTTTACCAGGTCAGGCCGGCCCGCTGGTCCTGTCTCTCACGGCCAGCCGGTGACGCGTTGTTATTTAACGTGTCGGTGGTCGCGTGGCCGTGACCGGCGACAAGGTCACGGGAAAGGCCTGGAGCTGCACACCTGTGGCCAGGTAAAGTCCCTTCACCCCCACCCCGGAGCGTGAGTGATTGAGTCAGTGATGAGTGTCAGTGATGAGTGTCAGTGAGTATTAGCGATTAGCGTTAGTGATGTGTGTCAGTCATCAGCGTCACTTATGCGTGTCAGTGATACGTGTCAGTGATCAATGTTAGTGATGGGTGTCAGCGATGGGATTCAGTGATTAGGGTCAGTGATACGTGTCAATGAAGACGTGTCAGAAATGTGTCAGTGATGGGTGTTAGTAATAAGTGTCAGTGATGGGTGCCAGTTATTAGCATCACTGATGGGTGTCAGTGATATATGTCAGTCATATGTGTCAGTGATGATGTGTTAGTGATGACGTGTCAGTGATGTGTCTATTTATACTACTACAACTTTATTTTCTTTTACTAGGTAAGCCCCACAGAGCTCTGTAGCCCTTTTTCAAAGTGACCTGGCCACGTGGCTTATCCCGTGGAAATGTATAGCAGCCAAATACTCTCAACGCGTGTTGATAAATGTGGAGGCAAAACCAGGAGGGCCAGGAGAAACATCCACGCGACCACGGGGAGAACAAGCAAACTCCAAATATACAGCAGGCGCCCGGGTTCGGATCGAACCCACGGACTTCTGCACTTAAGCGAGGTTGTTAACATCTAGCTATCGTCGCCACCGCATTTAGTGATGAGTGTCTCACAGTGGTGTCAGCGATGGGTGTCAGAGACGAGGGGTGAGTGTCAGTGGTGAGTGTCAGTGGTGAGTGTCAGAGACGAGGGGTGAGTGTCTGTGGTGAGTGTCTGTGGTGTGTGTTTGTGGTGAGTGTCAGAGACCAGGGGTGAGTGTCAGTGGTGAGTGTCTGTGGTGAGTGTCAGTGGTGAGTGTCAGAGACGAGGGGTGAGTGTCTGTGGTGAGTGTCTGTGGTGAGTGTCAGAGACGAGGGTGAGTGTCTGTGGTGAGTGTCTGTGGTGAGTGTCAGAGACGAGGGGTGAGTGTCTGTGGTGAGTGTCTGTGGTGTGTGTCTGTGGTGTGTGTCAGAGACGAGGGGTGAGTGTCTGTGGTGAGTGTCAGTGGTGAGTGTCAGTGATGGGTGTTAGAGACGAGGGGTGAGTGTCTGTGGTGAGTGTCAGAGACGAGGGGTGAGTGTCTGTGGTGAGTGTCTGTGGTGTGTGTCTGTGGTGAGTGTCAGAGACGAGGGGTCAGTGTCTGTGGTGAGTGTCTGTGGTGTGTGTCTGTGGTGAGTGTCAGAGACGAGGGGTGAGTGTCTGTGGTGAGTGTCTGTGGTGTGTGTCTGTGGTGTGTGTCAGAGACGAGGGGTGAGTGTCTGTGGTGAGTGTCAGTGGTGAATGTCAGTGATGGGTGTTAGAGACGAGGGGTGAGTGTCTGTGGTGAGTGTCAGAGACGAGGGGTGAGTGTCAGTGGTGAGTGTCAG